TAAGGATTTGGATATGAAGTCTTTACACCAAAAATTGCTTTAAATGCAGGTCATATATCTTGTCATTACCTCTCAGCAATTTCCTGTAGTTTTAGCATTTGCTATGACAATTAACAAATCTTAAGGGCAAAGTTTTTATAAAGTAAGTTTATACTGTAAGGATGTTTTATTTTCTCATTAACAATTATACTTTTTCCTATCAAACTGTCAACCTGAAGGATTGTTTATGCAAATGCAACGTAAAAACAAGTCAAAGGCAGAAAATGTTCTTCGGAAATACTTTTTAATTGAAAGAAAATACGCGTTTTAAAAATAAAAACAGAAACGGATTAAAAGTATTCAAAAAAATTATTACAACATTATTTGATGTAAGTACATGACATAATGTGTCAATATCTCATTATGTTACAATTTTGATAAAAATACGTAAATTAAAACTTTTGGTGTAGTGTTTTTGGAGAATATGTATTAAAAAACAATAATTTAAAAGTAACAAATTATGATACTTTGTATTAAAAATCTCATGTATTAAAAATTATGGATGTAATCAATTATTACCTTTACACATCAAATAGTTGTTTTTTAATACGCAGTGTACATAAAATGAAATAGATTGGAGATGGATGGATTTTTTATGAAAAAAAAAAAATAAGTAAACATACAGCAATTAAAATAAATTGTTAAAATTAAAAAAACTATGATAAGTGAATAGATTACTATATCAATAAATAGTTATCTTTGTCTTGAAATCGGGCTATTATTTTACTTAGGGATTTTATAGGGTGACCGGGAATGATTACCAAGACTTCTATTTTTTTCCCATGAATTTCAATAAATGTATATCATATCATCTAGTACGACTGTACGTAAAAAGGCATTAACAGACTATCTACTTTTGTGTGCTTTATATCGTGTTAAGTAAATGTACTTATTTCAGAACTGTATAAACTTTCTCTTAATTGCATGAAAAAATTTATGCCGCCCTTAGCGTACAAACGGTAGTTCTAAAATCTTGTGAGTATCCTCTAGTTATTTAAAACTTAAAGTGTAAAGAAAAGATAAAAGTAAAGAAAATGTCAACGTACTTCAGATATACTTATTGAAATTGATATAAAGTTATAACAATATTTAATATTCTTTGTTCTCGTTGTTAATAAGTACAAAATCAATTTAGTAGCTGTCTGGGTGATTCAAAAAAAAATTGATAACTACATACAGCTAAGAACAACAGTAGTTTTATAGTTATTTACGTAACAAGATCGGAAAAGACGATTTTCCGCACGAGTCGTGATTGACTCGCACGAATGGCCGGAGTTGACGGGAACGAGTTACCGTCACTGGCCACGAGTGCGAGTCTATCACACGAGTACGGGAAATCGTCCCGCACGAGTTGCGTACAAGTTTTTTCTGCACTTGGGTGGTTTTGGGAGGCTGGTACTTCCTCGGGCGAAAAAGCAGTTTTCCAGAACTCGTTCGAAAAGTCTCCTTTACGAACCTCGTTACGACCCTCGCCTTCGGCTCGGGCCGCAAACCTCTCGGTTCGCAAACAAAGACTTTTCAAACTCGTAGGAAAACTACTATTTCGCAATAAGTGTGTGGAAAATAGGTGTTTTCCGCACTGATATTAGTGTGGAAAATCGATTTTTACACATAGTGTGCGGAAAAGGTGTATGTTAAAGGTTTTTGTCACACACCTTTTCCGCATACTGTGTGGACAAACCTTTGCCACACACCTTTTCCGCAAACTGTGCGGAAAACGTTTTCCGCACACTATGTTGGACAATCGATTTTCCACACTAATATTAGTGCGGAAAACACCTATTTTACTGCACACTATTGTGAAACATATATTATAGAGGATGGGGCAAGAATAATTACAGAACAATTTGATTTGATTGGAATAACGGACACATTTAGTAAATAAGTGTAAAAATAATTTATTAAAATATGCGAAAAGTGCTGGAAGGGTGGCATATGATCTGAATATAGTATGGCGGTTGTGAGGGTGGGGGGCACTTAAAATTATGCTGGTGGAGGGTGGCGGGCCACGACAAAAATAACGGAAAATTTTTTTGATTTGAAATTACAGATAAACCTACGAAATTTTTCTTTACTTTGCGGAGGGCTATAGGAGGTCACGAGGGGGGCTTTGAAAATTGTGCTAGAGAACTGTAAAAGAGCTAGGGGGTCTAGTCAGGTTCTTGATATTATTATATTAGGTTGAAATAACAGTCAGCGATTGAATTTTCTTTTTTATTTTGTGAGGGGAGGAAGAGGGGCCGCTGGGGTCAGTGTGAAAATCCCTGTCTTAACAGTTATGTAGTATATAGGAATATATGTGCATACACACGCTCTTGCAGATGACAATTTCACCATAATCGAAGAGTTGGCATACCATGTTTCGTACTTTTGTTACATGGGTTATTACAACGGATTTCGTTGGAGACATCTGTTATTCGTAAAATCTCTGTGTGAGGAAGAGCTTGTGCGAGGTCAACTTTTGTTAGTACATTATCACGAGTTCGTGCCAAATTTCCTTGACTATTGCACAAATGAGCTCGTGATTTAACTGATTATGAGCAGGATCAATTGTCAATGACATACGGAATTTATCTTTGGTGTCATGCTTGACCCAAACTTTACTTTCTTCGGTTATATAATCCTCAGGCATGGATCTCGTTACAGACAATGTTGTGAGTCATGAAAAGGTTAAGCAGCTGGAACTTTCAGGCCTAAGAGTTTAATCCATCAAACTTCTCAATGTTGCGTAATGACAGCTTGGAGACCATGTTGAACTTATCAGTACGAATTGTTATTTACTGATTGTCCTTTATACGTACACAGTTTGAAAAAAGGTCTCCTTTGTTGCTTATGCTTTGTCACAGAGCAAGTCTGGGTAGATAACCTAATAAAGCAGAAAAATAGAAACAGGCGAATTTGTAAATAAATGAGTCCTCGACACTTGAAAATTAAACAGATATTTTTAAAAGACTTATAATAAGAAAACTTGCAATGGCTGTCACACAGAGAATCAACACGTCGGGATCGCAGGATTGTAATCGAAAGAGTGTTAACTTGGTTGTGCACTCAGTTGCGTTCTTTTTTTTTTTTTTTTTTCAAACAAATACCTATTTGCATAGTGTATTCATTTGAAAGGTTTATTAAGTCCTTAGAGGCTTTTACAGACATAGAATATTACATTATTGAAATACATTGGGGTTGAGAACTATGGGTTGGATTTTACAATTAATTCTTAATCCCAAGTCGGTGTCGTAAATTGGAATGCGGAAAAGACCATCAGAAATAATCTGAGTGCCCCAACTGGGAATCGAACCCACGACCCCTTGAGCTGTGTTGTATTAATGGTTAGCACGCTTACCAACTGAGCCAACGACGAGCTCTCTTAGTTGCGTTCTTTAATTCTCCAGCAGAAGAAGGCAGACAGAGAAGTGAGAGAGTACAGAGTACAGACACAGTGCCTCTATTGGCGGATGGAATAAGCGTGTTCTCACACGCACACGCACGCGCGCACGCAGTCTAACAGATGACAGATCAACGTACTTGGAAAGCCAGTTAAAAATATTTATTTATACTTATCAAAAAATAAATTTGTCAAGAGCTCCGATGGCTTGTCGATTAGTGCTGTATCCTTCTAGTTGGACTAACTTGAGGGGTCTTGAGGGTTGTAAGTTCGAATCGTGTCGAAAAATATCGAGATTTTTTTTCAGGCTCTTTTGATGAGACAAGTACCATGGATGCTAAAAAATTACTTATCCGATGTTTAAAAAATGAATAGTGGATTTTCCTGGTGATTTCTGAAGTTGGTACCTGGTCAGCTAATCGATGAAGTCAATATCATTTTAAAAAGGCCGATATACCAAGTTAAGTGGTTCATTGGAGAATAGGAGAAATTCTTCTAATTTCAACTTTTATGCTAGTTGGAATTTGCTTAAGACGGTAACTGTGCTCTAAAAAATGTATCCAGTATAAAAAGAGAGTACTTGATGAAAAAAGAAAAAAGGATGGAATGGTATGGATTACCATGTACAGGACTGCCTGCAAATGATATTTGTGAAACCTTAATACTGCATTCTTTTTTCACAAATTTAGATTTACAAAAATTTATGTAGGAAAAACCTTTTCTTTATCTAAAATTGAAAAATTATTTTTTCTAAAATTATAGACAGAACTTCTCTTAAACTTAAGTTTGAAATAATATTTTCATTAATTGTCAGCATGCGTACAAATAAAAACTTACAAAAACTATTAAAGATGACATTTTTTAAATTATAATAAGACACTATGTTCAATATTGCCTGGAGCTGATTTTGTTGCAAGGATGATGTGACTGAGCTTTAACAGCAAGGGACAGGCATTTCTGTGAGGATAGTGGATAATTTTCCTCCGCACACGAGAGTACCCAAAGCACCAGTAACTAAAGATTCCTAACTGTGAATTAAATGAGAAAGTTATTAAAATATTTATTAACAGATCATTTTTACAAAAAATAAAATTCGGGTTGGTAAGTAAGGCGTCGAGTGTCAAGCCTCCTTAGATATCATAGAGAATGAGTATGGTGAGTTGCTTTAGCTGTACATCTGTACATGCTGTAGGCAGACTAATTCTAGCTATTTCACAGAGCAGTGGTTAATCAAAAGTATTAAAAATTAAAGTGATCTTAAAAGGGACAAAATAACTTTAAAAAAGTTAAACATTGTCTTTAATCTAGGAAAGAATCTTTGTTTTTTCTGTGAACAGCTGCAGCTTTGATCACGGAGTCGTTATTAAACAAAAATAATAAAAATGCAAATGTAGAAATTAGTACGTAAACTTCTCAGAAATGGAGAAACGTAAATGCTCGGTTTATCAAAATAAGGTTTACAGTATGTCACTACATACAAATTTATCTTAAACGCACTAACAAAATAATTATAAAAAGACAAATGTTGTAACTGATGTCTAAAAGATGTTGAAGATAACAAAACTGTTAAACATTTCAGTTGCTTGATTGCGTGGCGATTCCGGTCTCACTTGCATTGTCCTGTTTGGTTCTTGGGATAAGATACCGAATGGTCCATATTGTTGGTGTGTCAATCTGTTTGATGGCAGTTGGTTGTCAAGTTTGGGCTGGTATTGAAGAAAATAAAGATCCTACACCTGCTGGTGAGTTTAAGAGTTCATTAAAAATATTATTAATAAGTAATTAACCGTTGACACGATCGGTGATCTAATTTTTAGCAAATATTTATATTTAAATTCATAAAATTCATGGATGATCAACGTAATGCATGCGCACGTGTGTGTGCGTTGTAAATAATGGACCAAGCATAGTATGGTTCGGGATTAAACCTGCATTTAGATCTTAGATAATATGAAAATATAAACTATAAACACCTTTACTAAACATAAGCTTTCATATTACGCATTTTCATATTATTCTGCTTAAAACTTGGTATCTACCATTCTATTTTTCTTTGGATTCGTGTAAACAATAGCTTTCACTGTTTTGCGTAGAAGCTCAAGTTTACACGCACAAATACTCTACACTCCTAAATACATTGTTGGTCTACATGTTTACAAACCTTTTATAAGCTTTCGCTGCTCTGTTCGCTGCCAAGCCCTCTTAATCATATAATATAACCAGTCTGCATATGGCTCGTCTTGTGAGCGCATCTCTCTTGACAACACTGTGCTTGGGCAGCGTACGAGCAAGCTGCTGTTTACTCAATTCAGGCTCATTGGCTTAGTCTCATCATTATAGTTGTTAATAGATACAATTTTATTTAGTTAGTTATTGAGTTTAAGTTATTCGCCCGTTTCGTCTTCCATATGAATAAATTCGTACAGTCCACTTGTCTTAATATTAAACAAGTATCTTTTGCATTTCTTAAGTAAAATGTACATTTTATTTTAAGATTGGGAAATACTCAGAATTAGTTTTTTTTTTTTTTTGTTTTTTTTTTGTCTAATGAAGCGGGGAGGGAAAAATCTTCATAGGCTCCCTAACTAATCTGGTGGTAGTGTCGGATTCACCTGGTGTGCCTACCGACTAAAAACTGACCTTTCCGCATTGGATAAGTCCGTGAGGACCACTTCCCTAGAAGACAAAAGAGCATAAGAGAAGAAAGAAGAAGGAAAATAACGGAGGATTTCGGAGGCCCACTCGCTCTCAAAGGGATGAGAGGAGGTGCACTTAGGCATCTGGGCGAAGCTTGAATCTTGGCTTGCGCTGGAATAGAGATTCAATAAAAATTAAAAAAAGAATACCTGCGTGAATCTTGTTGTTTTCGGTATCTCTGTAACTATTCTATAACTAGTCTGTTCAACCTTTAAATTGTGATTTCTATTTGATTAATTTTATGTAATAGCTGATAACTTGACACGCCAAATAGTAACGTGAAATAACATGAACTTGAGGTAGTTGTTTCCTAAATCAAAAGTATCTAAAAAGGTACGAAGTATTTAGCAAAACTAATCTAAGCATCGAAAAATTTGTGTAAAAAATTTGAGACCAATTTACCACGTTGTTATTGAAATATTCTCGTCAAAAAATCACTCTTTTAACATTGGACCAATGGTGCAAACAGTATAAATCCTCATTATTTTAAAAAGTGTAACTAATCCCATTTCTATAAATAATTAAAAAACTACTAAAAATTACCTTAGACAGTAAAGAAACACATATATTTTTTTGAGAATTTCTCACCACACAGTTTCAAAGCAATAATAATCAAAAAAGTGCTCTTCGTTTGATTTTAAAAGATAAGATAAGATAAAGTAAGTATCGCGAATGCGGCAACGTCACATTGTCATATGAGTACAATTAGATATATGTATATGTTTATGTGCGTATAAGTGTACGCAAAGGCATTTACATTTTTCTCCGATAGTCTGAATGCGGAATGATATATAAACATAACCTTAGTATTGTATATCTATACATATATACGATTAACCCATATATTGAGAAACAACTACCTTGAGCACCAGTTATGAAGGAGTCTTTTAAATCTGTAAAGCTGTAATTGCACACAGATCTTCATCTTTTCTTCTAAAAATCAACCCTAACTCTTGGGTATCTATGGTATATCCGAATACTCTTTTAATGTTTTTTTAACAATTCCTAAGTTTTCTGTTCTTCACTTGTCTTGTAACCATTGGGGTTATTTGACATTTTTACGACATTCCAGAAGAGACTCACTAAATGCAACACCGTAGTGTGTTGATACGTAATGTAAAACATTTTTGGTGAGAAATTTTACATCTATTCCTGACACTTCGCAGAACAAAAATCTTGTTACTAAAAACATATTCGTTCGGAATGCATACAGTTCATCTAGTCAAGTAAAAAGCTGTAAAAAGTGAACAAAATAGAACTATGCTGAAAAGTACCGTGCATATTATTATTCTTGATAACAGAGAGCCAGCTGTATATAGCTTGTCTCTTATCCTTGGAGTCTCTCTGTATGGACACCGTATATGAGGGAGGTACACCGCTGACCAAAGAATATCTCGTCTTCCGGTCATTCCCCGCATAACCAAACGTTCATCGTTAGTCAGGAAAGTGGGCCTGGAGAATACTTTTCCTGTAGGTATGCCGTTGGGACGACCACTAAGAAGGAGTCCGTTGTGGCTACCCGTACTTTTCAGGGCTGTCTTCCCTGGCTCGCATTTGAAGTAGAAAATTTTCTGACGGCACCACATCGGATGGTTGAACGGCCACAGAGCTCTGAAGTGCTGGAGCAGGTTGTGCTCTGGCTAGGCACGTTTCCTGATACTCCACCAGAGACGTTAACGTTCTAAACGTGTATTTTTCCATCCCACTCGGTAATTTTGGCGATCTAGGGTAAAAACCAATTCATTCGCTTGCCCATGAAAGAAGAGTGTCATTGTTAGCCGGAATTCCTAGCTGCACGATGGACTACTCTGTTCTTGATGTAGTGCCAATGATCGACTACGATAATCGTCAACTCAATGAGGCATGTTATAACCACTCTTCTTTATCTTTGATTACGGGTGGCTTCAATTTTACCTCGACGCCAGCTAGTGGATCCTTCTGAACTAAAGCGCAAAGCTAGCTTATTTTAAAAAATCTTTAAGCTTATTTATTGCTATTGTCATTAACTTTTTCAAGAAAAAAACCATGCGAAAACCATCTCGGAATCATCAAGAATCAGTATGCAATATTTCAGCAAAATCGGTTCAGTAGTTTTCGTGGTTAGTGATTACAACGGTTTTAGTGACTTTGCTTTATATATTAGTAAGATACGTTATGTAAACAGACAAATTTCGTTTATGTCCTTTTTCAGGCCACATTTAATGGCTAGATCCGTAAAACTTTTATTTAACCTTTTTGAGGAAGGCTGGCTTTACATCTATCTGACAGGCTCAAGGACGTATTAATTGATTATGGCTAGTACTACTATGTTTCTAACAGTCTAGAGGCAGGGGCGTATATTTCTCTAAGTTCGTATTCCGTCAGATTATCAAATCCTCTGAGTACTAAATGTGCTTTGTAAGCAATTTTTTAACTGAACTTGTTTTTTTTTCAAACTAATATATTATGTAATACAATATGAGTAGTAGAGTAAAAATGTCAAAGTTCTATTAGGTCATCACTTGTATTCATATTATTACAATACATTATGAATCCATGTGTACAACACCTTACATACATATGCGTTAAAGAGTTGAGAATAAAAGTAATCTAAAGAAAAGGGATCAAACTTATTTATTCCTTGGGTACTTGTTAAACTTATTGGTACTATATCCTAGTATCTTACCCATTGACAAACACAATTGACACTAACTTCTTATGTGTTTACTTATTATACGTCTTTAAGATTTATTTGGTCGACTAAGAGAAGTTATGAAGAAGGAAATATAAGCAATTGTCATGAAGAGTGGTCTAGCTTGTATCTATTCATACATGAACTTGGTATTTGCTTCATAATGATCTATTAACATAATGTGAGTCATGATGTAACATACAAGGTGTAGCGTTGCGCATCCCTTTTAATTGACCAATCAGGAACGCTTCCATCATGTCACCATGTCTATTTACGAATTTCGAAAGCTTTTAAAATACCAAGCGTATTATCATCAAGAAACTCGTGAAACAATATATATTTTTTATTTCAATATTTTCATCCCAACTATTCTATAACTAG